CAAATAGAGCATGATGAAAGTTGAAGATAAGTATATCTTTGTCAGAAAGAAGATGATTTGAAGAGATTTGTTTGTGATAAATAGTATGACATCGAAAGACAAGACCTTGAGCAAGATCAAAAAGTTGAGGGTTACGTTTCTCGTCATATAAAATCTCATTAAGTTGTTCATCTGTTTCATAAGTAGTTTCGATGATTGAAAACATATTATTCTTATTATTTTTATCTTCATGAGTAATAACTCGTTGCATAAGTAGATTCTTTTCGATGTCAAAATGAAGTGATGTATGAAGTGAAGGATGTTTGTTGACAGTGAGATGAAGAGCATGCCGAAGTTGTTTAATCCATAAAGTATGATCTGGTTGCAGATAATAAACAAAAGGCATGTTATAGATTGCTATTTGAGGGTTGTCTAGATCGAACCGAATTCGCTCATCAAGCCAAATACGAGCTTGTGCAAATGATGTTGGTGCTAGAATAATGAGAGCTTTGTGAATTATATTATAAAAGCTGGATGGCCAAGTGATGCTTGATAACAATATTCTAGTCACTTTTATCTAATCGCCTCTCTAACTGAACGGAAATTCATACTAAGAGTGTTGGCTCACTATTTTCTGTTACTAATAATAAAAACTATTTTAATACCCCAGAATGAGAAGCCTAACATCATATGGTATCGGATTCTACTCCAAAAATCGAGGGATATTATTACCCTTCGTAGAATCCGATAGAACTATTTGGATCTGGGACTTTCTATGCGCATTATTATTACTATGTAATAGTTTTTTGTTAATGTTTATATAAAAGTACGATAGTTTGGCACTCTTATTAAACTGGCATTAACATAACGCAAGTGCTGATGGCTCTCTCAAAAAAATGTAAAATTATTCACTGTTATGAATTTATTTTTTAGAAATAAAACTGTATTGTTTTTTATGAAAGTCGTTAGCATTTTTATTATGCTAATACAAATTCAATGTGAATGCTGAACTATTGTTTTTTTCCCACTATGAACATAAAAGAACCATGTAATCTCGTAAATTTCTAACAGATAGTATTAATATTTTCCTAGTACAAATAGTTGGCCGAGAGCCTTAGTTAATACTATTGTTAGTTCCATACAAATCTTTCTTATTCACTGAATAGATCAAAGTTATTTCTCTAGTTCATTCAGATACACTCAAATATTTGATAAATTTGTCTATCGATTTTTTATTCTCTTTTTCTTTCTTTTATAGTTCTTTTCATCACATATATCCCTTAAGTCACCAAATAGTATTACAATACATTTGAAATACATATATAATGCTACGAGATGAAATCTCTGTAGTTACTATATAACAATTTATTTTCGGAATGATTTTATGCGATTCTAATCTTTTGACATATATTACTAAATCACTAAAAGTTTTAGTCACTAGTGTGAAACTAAAATCTTTGCAGTTGTATTAGAGAATAATCTGAATGAAATACTCATATGAAATAAGGTGTATAACCAATAAGAATATGTATAATAAAAGCTTGACCTATAATACCTAAATGTGGCATCCTTTGTGACATCATACAAATATTTGACAGATATCTAAATAATTTCTAGGAACTATATACTGTCACTGTTTGATAACTTTTACAATCTATCCGTATACATCTAATTACTGAAAACAACAAAAATATCTTTGTATTAGCTTCATGTATAACATCGGAAGAAAACAAAAGCAAACAGAAATGTTTGATGGTAGAGAACTATGTGATACAGGTGTTTTATGACTATACAACCCGACTATGACTCCGAAAAACGTCTTCCCTGTGATTCTAAATCCGATTGTATGAATTTTTATTTTTACACATCAATTTCAGTTTCAACACTCAAAAACTCTGACAATTTATTAATGATAACCGGTGACCTATCACATACTTAGTACTTAGTTTACTTAGAAGTTAAAGAGGATTAGTCTCACTTAAGACAAACTCTGGATTTTAACGATTCTGCTCAACTGCCTGAACAACTTAAGTGTGATTTGTTTTCTGGCATGAAATCTACGAACGTATCTTAGTTCTGAGAGAGTGCCAGGTTATACACAAATAGACTTATGAAAGATCCTATTATCATAGCTGTTCTGTTTCTTAAAACGAAATATACAACTTTCGATTAATGGCAAGGGTTACTTCTTTTTGATTCATATGGAAATAGTAGAGTATTCACATAATCAAAGCAGATATTCATCAGAGTTTGTTACAACTTACCTTCGATTTCTCTCGCAAAAATATCTCGATAAGTTTCACTCCAACTCACGTTCAACGTCTTCAGCAATCCCTTCTTAGAAGTTACAAAACGAGAGTACCTGAAAAAGACAATCTGAGTTATTGTTGATCACACCTTATTTGAATCCCTATTTTGTCATTACTTATACCGTTAGAATTCATTTAGAAACTGAAAATGCTTTATCTGTACATCACAATGCACTTTAATGCATATTTCTCATTACTGATTTAACTGACAGTCACTTTTATAAAACAAAAGAACAAGCTGCATACAATCATACCCTCATTCAAAATATTCTCCAATCGATGAAACATGGCTAACTGCATTTCTTCAGCTTCATCAGGAAGAATAAGAGATAGTTTGTTAATAGATGAATCCATATCCATCGCAAGAATGTTGCTTGATTCTGTTTGAAACAGTTGCTCGAACATAAATTGAAATCTTTGAGATATTTGTGAAATAGTTGATTTTTCAAATAGATCACGTGAACAAACAAAATTACATGATAATCTCTTATTATCTAATAATGGATTGTGTTCAAATGTTAATGAGAAGTCAAATTTAGACATTTCAGCTGATTGTTCCAATGACATTTGTTCTAAATTTGCATCGTTCAAACTTAAATATTCCATATCTTTTGACACAGTGATAAAATCAAACATTGTCTCAAGAAGTGAAACATTCAATTGATTTAACCGATTGTCACTGAGAATATGTTGTAATGGATAATAAGAGTGTTCAAGAACTGATAAACACTTTTCTCGTACATATTTAACTACTTCATCAAATGACCAATGTGGATCAAGTTCAACGCGATATGGTAGTGTTGAAACAAACATTCCTATCATATTCACTAATTCACTTCGATATCGATTAGCATTAATAGAACCAATACATAGATCAGTTTGACCATGAGTTAAATTGAATAGAAAGACATAGAATATGGATAATCCAAGTTGAAAAAGTGTAAGATGATGTGATGATGCATAATTGAGAAATGATATGCATAATTCATTATCAAAAATGATTTCAGCCATGGATGCTAAACCTGATCGTTGTTGATTAGTTGATGAACGTTGTCGATCAAATGGTAATGTTAATGAACACTCGATATTGTATCTTTCAAGTTGAGAATGCCAGAATTCACGAGATAATGACATATCCATGATATGTTCATGAACAGAATAATCTGTATAATTCAATGAGTTAGCATCTACATATGAAGAGTCACCAGACTGATAAGCAAGAGAAAGATCACGAATGAAGATTGGTGTTGATGCTCCATCGAACATTGCATGATGAATACTAATCAATATGTGGTCATTTTCAGTCAACAGATCATCATCCTCACATGAGATACTATCTTGAGATTGACGACAATGACGAAGCATATGACAACGAATAACACGTCCTTTTGATAGATCAAATAAATCAGCTTGATTTAATATTTCCATGATAATTTTATTTATATGACGACGATCATCATTGTAAAGATCAACAATTGTCAATCCATTTGATTTCATATAATCATTGAGAACGATGTTTGCATCTAAACAGTGCTGTATAATATTACCATTTGTATCAAGATAGAGTGCTGTTCGAAGAATATTATGTTTTTTTATGATAGACTGGAATGCATGTTGTAATCGTGAAATAGACATATGATCATTCATAGATGATATACGATAAAGTAATGGAATAACATACATATTCTTCATGGTTGTTTTCTTAGATGAAAAACGAATTTGTTCATCTAAATAGATTCGTTCTTGAGCAAATGATGCTCTAGCTAGAATGAGAACAAAAGAGATAGATATGTAGTTAACAATGATATCTAGTACAAATTGTTTTGTTTACCTTGAAAGAGATATAATGTAGACCAAGGATAATCATACAGAGTGTGGGTAGTATTGATAGATTGTTGAATGAGTTGAGCATGATGAATGATTGTTGGATGTTGAAATAGATTAGATATCGAGAGAGTATTTGTTTCTAAATGAAATTCGATCTTGTATCGATGAAAAAGTTGCATGATAAGTAATGAATGACCACCAATAGTAAACATGTTTGTATCAGTTGAGATTTGCTTTTGTTTAAATATCTCACACCAAATATGATGAATAGTAACTTGAATATCATTTGTTGGTAGTACTAGTTCTATAGTGTTTATGAGATGTACAGATGAGAAGTGAGGTGAAGGAAGAAGTTTTCGATCTATTTTTCCATTTGGATTCAAAGGTAGTTTGTCAAGAATAATAAATATTGATGGTATCACATGTGGTGGAAGATGAGATTGACAATGTTCACGAAATCCCTGTTCATTCATATCAGAACTTTGAACATAAGCAACTAAATAATCATCTTTCCATTTCGTGACAACACAGGCGGAGATACATGTAATGTTAAGTAAACATCGTTCGATTTCACCAAGTTCGATTCGTTGTCCATGTAGTTTGATTTGATGATCTTTTCTTCCTTGATAATGAAGAAGACCATTGTTATCTATTTTAACAAGATCGCCTGTTCGATAAAATGGTTCGCCATCTATTTCAACAAGAGCTTTTGCAGTTAAATCATCACGACCTAGATAACCAGCAAACACACCTGCTCCTCCCACTAGCAATTCGCCATCCTGACCGGCAATAGATGATTGTGAATACTTATTCATAATCATACATCGGTAATTATAAAATGGCCTGCCAATTGGAATGCTCTGGGTATCACTCGTAACACTCACACAATGCAGTGTAGAACCTATGGTTGCTTCAGCTGGACCATACAAATTCCACACAATACAGTTTGTTATACCGATTTTTACAATCAAATCAATTAAAGGAACAGAAAAAGGTTCACCTATAATAATCAACATACATTCGATAAATGAACGACATTTATTTGAAAGTTACTCACCGCTGCTGCAAAGTGATCGAAGATGTTTCAAAACGTGCGACTTGTTATTTTGCTGGACAGAAGTAAAAAAACTGTGCAATAAACTTGGAACAGTGTGTAGATATGTGGTTTGTTTACTCTGTAAGACTTCAGATAAATAATCAAAATCAATAGTTCCACCAGGATGAAGCATAATTAATGTGCCTGCAACTAACAATGTACCAAGTATTTCTTGAACATGGATGTCAAATGAACATCTTGTCATTTGTACAACTATATCATCTTTATTAAATGAGTTAATATAAGTCAAAGAATTGATGCAATCAATAAAGTTCTTTTGCCGAACTTGAACCTATGAAAGAGCATGAAAATCAATCAATTATCTAAAAACTCAGTGTCAACGAACCGCTTTAGGTGTTCCAGTTGAACCACTCGTGAAAATAATGTATGCAATCTCATTGCCTTTCACTTTCACACTTGAAAGACAATTATAATCCATGTTACTATTCAGATCACTGATATTTAATATTGAATCAATATCAAGTGAAACACTATCATCATCAAACTTGGACTTAGTTAAATCATGAACAAGAACAAGACGACTTTGTGTTTGTTGTGTGAGTGCATGCAAACGATGTTGTGGGTCCCGCGGTGATAATGGACAATAAACAGCACCAGCCATTTCAATTCCCATCATACCAATCACCTAATTAAAATCAATCTCAAATTCACATTAATTGTTACTCATCTTAATTAACTTACCATTGACAAACTTCGCTCAACACATTGACATACGATCTCACCTGGAAATACATGATATTCATTAAGAAGAGTTAAAGACAATACTTGAACATAATATAGAAGTTCACAATATGTTAATGATTGTTCATCTAGTTCAACTGCTAGCTTTTGTGGATGTTGCATTACTTGATATACAAATTCATGATGAATACAAGTGAGAGGAGATGAAAATGACATTTGTGTATTATTCAATGATTGCATAAAATATCGTTCATTTGGTAATATTAACGATAATTCATAGATAGGTTTGTTTGCTGTACAGTCGACAGTTGTGAATTGTTGGTGTAACATTGTCTGAAATCTTTGTGCAATTATACAACATGTTTCGGCATTAAATAGATCAAGCGATGCATCGATTGTGCATGAGAATTCATTTA